AAATACTACTCAGCCATAGAAAGGAAATAAATAATGTCTTTTGTAGCAACTTGGATGGAGCTGGAGGCCTTTATTCTAAATGAAGTAACTCAGGAATGGAAAATCAAATATTGTATGTTCTTACTTTTAAGTGGGAGCTAAGCTATGAGGACACAAAGGCATTAGAGTGATATAATGGACTTTGGGGACTCGCAGTGGTGGGGGGAAGGTTGGGAGGGAGTGAGGGATAAAAGACTACATGTTGGGTACAGTATACACTGCTTGGGTGGCAGGTGTACTACAATCTGAGAATTCACCTCTAAAGAACTTATCCGTGTAACCAAAAACCACTGGGATTCCAAAAAAATTGAAATGAAAAAACTAACTAACTAAATAAATTAAAAAACAGTGTATGACAGTTCCAGTGTTAACATTTTTGCCAATATTTGATATTGTCAAGGTTTCTTTTCTTTTCTTTTCTTTTTTTTTTTTTTTGAGGGAGGATTTTAGCCTTTCTTTCTGTATATGTAGTAATATGTCATGATTATTTGGATTTGCATTTCTCTAATGCCAATGAGCTTGAGCACTGTCTTGTATAGGTTTTGGTTGTTTGAATATTCTCTTTTGTGTAATGTTTATTCAACTCTTTTTTCCACTTTTCTTCTCCCAACTTTGAGTTTGTTGTGAATTGTCTTTGTCTAATTGATTTGAAGGATTTCTTTATACAATCTGAATAGGAATCCCTTGTTAGATACATGTATTGCAAATATTTTCTCTCATTTGTGTAGCTTGCATTCTGGCTTTTTTAATGGAATGTTTTTCATGAACTTAATTTAATAAAGACCAAGTTGCCAACATAATATAGAATATCATCATGTTCTGTAAAATATGCAAATCTTTCTTTTCTTTTTATGTTTATTTTTCTTTTGAGAGGGAGCCTCGCACTGTCACCCAGGCTGAAGTGCAGTGGCACTATCTCAGCTCACTGCAACCTCCGCCTCCCGGGTTCAAGTGATTCTCCTGCCTCAGCCTTCCGAGTAGCTGGGATTACAGATGCATGTGCCACCACGCCAGGCTAATTTTTGTATTTTTAGTAGAGACGGGGTTTCACCAAGTTGGTCACGCTGCTCTCAAACTCCTGACCTCATAATCTGCCACACACTTTTAAAAAACCAGATCTCACGATAACTCACTCACTATACAGTGCCAAGGCAGAAATGGTGTCAAACCATTCATGAGAACTCTGCCCTCATGATCCAGTCACCTCCCACCAGGCCCCTCCTCCAACACTGGGGATTATAATTTAACATGAGATTTGAGCACGGACACAGATCCTAACCATATCATAAACTCACACATACATTTATATAATGACTATTTTTACTGTATATTTTAGAGCTGTACAAGGCTTACTTGCAGTTTAATGTATCTGAATTCATCTCCAAATAAGGGAGAGGAGAACGTATATTAGTGGTTCCTGCCTCTTGTCAGAGTTGGGGTGTCATAGAAGGTACTAGTCTTAGTAATCTTGGCAAAAAGTCTTTGTAAAAATCCAATAGAAATGAGGTAACTGTTCTTTATTATTGTTGATCTTGAGTGTTCTGCTGCTGGTTTTCCTAAAAAATCTAAATAAATGAATAACAAAAGTTATGCACAGAAAAATAACTAAAAATGAACAAACAAAAAAGCATGACTGGTCAAGCATGGTGGCTCACATCTGTAATCCCAGCACTTTGGGAGGCCGAGGTGAGAGGATCACTTGTCCAGGAGTTTGAGACCAGCCTGGGCAGCAAAGCGAGACCATATCTCTACAAGACATTTAAAAATTAGTCAGGTATGGTGGTATGCATTTGTAGTCCTAGCTACTGAGGAAGCTAAGGCAGGAGGATCAGGATTGCTTGAGCCCAGGAGGCTGAGGCTGCGGTGAGCTGTAATCAGGCCACTGCACTCCAGCCTGGGCAACAGAGTGAGACCCTGCCTCAAAACAAAACAAAACAAAAAAAAGCATGACAGATATTTGAAGAAACTGAAAAAGTCTAACATAGTAAATGGAATAATTTGACTCCAACAAGACCATTGAGAAAATGAGACAGAAGCAAGAAGAGACTCTGCTAAAAATTTCCTGATGAAACAACCACTGATCCAAGAGTACTGTTAATGCCAACCAGGATATACACAAAGAAATTCACAATTTAGGAAAATTTTAGTAAAAAACAAAAGATAGAAGGAAAAGCTTAAAAGCAGCTTGAGAAAAAACCAAACTTTAACATCATATAAGCTGACTTTTCAAAAGAAACAATGGAAGCAAGAAAATAATGGAATAACATCTTTTATATGCTTAATAATCACAAATCCAGAATTTTACACAGTGGAAATATCCTTAAGAAACGAAGGCAAAATAAAGATGTTTTCAGATAAACAAAACTAATATAAATTGTTTTTAGCAGACCCATGTCCAAAGAAATATTAAAGAGTGTTCTTCAGGTTAAAAAAAATGATGCCAGATAAAATCCCAATAGTGCAAAAAATAATGAAGAGTGCCACTGGAAATGGTAACTATGTAAGTGAAACAACATAAATATTGACTATTCAAAACAGTAATAGTAATGACTTCTGAAATGTAAACTATAGGGATAATTCGGGGGGTGAGGTGCTGACAAAGAGAGTTTAAAAACTATAATATTCTTCCACTGTCCAGGCAGTGGTAAAACAACGAATTAATGGTGGCAAATCAACGTTGCATATTGTCATCATTTAGGTAACCACTAAAGAAATCATGAAATAGTATATAACTAACAACTAAGAAAAGGGAGAAATGGAATAATGAAAAATACTTATTAAATCTAAAAGAAGGCAAAAATAGAAGATAAAATATCAAACCAAAAGATAGCTGGGTAGCAATATTAATATCAGAAAAAATAGCTATTAACACAAGAAGCATTATAATATTACAGAGAGATAAATAGGGACATTTCATAATGATAAAAAGGTCATGACAGCAGAAAACCATAAGAATCCTAAATGTTTATTTGCTTAATAACCAGCCTCAAAATATATAAACTTTAAAAGCCAACAACTTAAAGGAGAAATAGACAAAGCCACAATCACATTAACTAATATAACAAGCAGTCAAAAAAAAATCAGTAGGCATAAAATATTCCAAGTCAATAAGAGTTGGAAAACATAATTAATAAATTTGACCTAATTGATACACATAGCTCTCTATCCCTCCCAAAACTTCAGAATATGCATTTTTCAAGGGCACATGTAATTTGTAAAACTTAACCCTATAGTGGATCCTAAAGTAAGTCTCACCAAATTAAAAATTGAAATCATAAAGAGCATGTTCTCTGACTAAAGTGGAATTAAAATAGGAATTAATTCCCTGAGTACGAGATTGTAACAAAAAAAAAGGAATTAAGAAATCAAAAATAAAACTAAAAATATCCCTTAACTAATTGATTGGAATTTAAGCAATACACTTCTAAATAACCAGGCATCAAACTAGAAATTATAATGGATATTAGAGAGTTTTGAACTGAGTGATAATAAAAACACAACATATCAACTCATGCAGGATTCAACATATGAGGACTCATTCTTAGAGGAAAATATATAGCATTAGGTGTGACTATTAGAAATGAAAAAGATTAAAAATTACTTATCAATCTCAAGAAGCTGAAAAACAAATTAAATCCAAAGAAGCAGAGAAATAAAAATAATAAAGAGTAGTCACCAATGAAATAGGAAGAAAATGCAATAGAGAAAATTAAGCCAAAATCTGAGTCTGCAAAGACTAATAAAATTGACAGATCAAAAAAAAAAAAAAAGTGTGTGGCACCTCCCTGCACCCTCTCTCTTCCTCCTACTCCGGCCATGTGATAGCTGCACTCCCCCTTCCCCTTCTGCCACACTGTCCATTTCCTGAGGCCTCCCCAGGAGTGGAGCAGATGCCAGCATCGTGCTTCGTGTACAGCCTGTAGAACCAAGTGCCAATTAAACCCCTTTTCTTTATAAATTACTCAGTCTCAGGTATATGTTTATAGCAATATGAGAGTGGACTACTACCGCTTACCTTTGAGTGTTTTACAAATTTATGGGTATGCTTTTTGTTTGTAACTCTGACTAGGAAGGTGAGAGCATTACTGGTCTTTATTGGACTGGGGCTACCAATGCTATGTAGTCTGCAATGCAAGGAATAGGTCCATACAAGGGATCAATAGTTACACTTCTTGCAGGATTTTCAACAGTTCTGCTGGAATATTCATGTAGGTGACATGCCTGCTAATAATGATCTAACCTTATACTCTTAGTACCTTTTACATATGAACCCTAAAATATATATTTTAAATCCTTTAGATAGAGATTGAATTCTCCATGGATAGTACACAGAGGGTATATTATGTTTTGTTTGTTTGGAACTTTGTGGAGAGTTAGCCACAAATTTGGAAAACCACATCAGCTACCTTACTCTGCTATTTGTTGCTTATACAACTGATACTTTGTCAGCAATGAAGCGCATCATCTGAATATGCATTTGAGGGGTTTCCACATAGATAGATGCAAGCATCTGATCCCTTCATTGGTCTTCTGCATTTCATTAGGAGAAAAATACTACTTTGTTATAAATTACGTACCTTCCTTGTTTCCTTAAAGTTGAAGCATCGTCGTGTATATTGATTTAAAAATTATGTGTGTAGGCATGTGATATTAGTTACTAATTTTAGCTGAAGATAATTATAATTTCATTTCAGATTTCTGTTACTTAAAAGGTCTGGAATCGGATAGGTTGAGATCAACTCGATACTACGATATTTGCTAAAATTTATTTGAACACACAGAAAAGACCCAACACAGAGACCTCTTTATTACTATTATTTCTACTATTCTTTTAAAAAATTATTATCGTTACACACAGCGGTTTTAGGCACTGTCAAGCGTCCATCGCCTCGGGGCTGGGAACCTTTGCGCCCTTCTTCAGCTGTGCTCTTAGGCAGTTACCGGCGAGACCCGGACCGGAACCTTGGCGCGGTGACGCTAGTTTCCGGCGGGTTACTTAGAGCGCGGAACAGCTCTGGGCCAAAGGACCATGAGAGGGCCGGAGCTGGGTCCCGAACCAACGATGGAGGGAGACGTGCTGGACACACTGGAGGCGCTGGGGTGAGTGCTTTTGGAGACGCCTTTTTCCTGAAAACGCAACCTCTCCTTGGCCTGGCTGCTTAACCTACTTCCCCTGGGCCTCTGTGGGCCTGGGCGGCCCTGTGCAGGCCTCCTTCCCTGCCTCGATCCCTCTGGCGCCGACGGAGTTAAGCGGGAGGCGGGAGAGAAATCTATTTAGGGGGTGGAGCAGGGCCGGAGAGCTGGGGTTCGTGGCCCCCTCTTTCAAACTTCTTGCCTCGGAACTCTGTTGCAGGAATCCGCGGGGTGGCGCGGAGCGGCCCTTCTGGCACCGGTTTTCTGGGCGAGCCCGCGCCCGCGATATTTGTGATATTTGTGTTGACGTAGTTGTGGCGCCCGGAGGGAGGTGCTGGAACCTGAGCTGCTGTTGAGGACTGTTGTCTCCTACAGTGTACAACTTGTGGCTTACTTGGGGCTCTGAAACGAATGGCTTCTACTTTGACCGGAGAAAGTGTTGTAGTTCATTGCGAGTTCATTCTTTCAACCATTTCATCTGTTCGTCAACGTGTATATTAGCTTGTATGTGCATTTACACACATTTACGTTTGTAAATTTCCTCTAGGCAAGGGAAAAAGATAGTTTTCAGATTGCTTGTGGCTTACGTAGTCGCGCAGGCTACTGCAGGCTACAATGCAGTGTGGTAGGTGCTGTGAGAACTCTTAGGATGGAGGTGGGAGTAATGTTAATACTTAATAAGTGTGGTGGTTAGTAATCTCCCCCTCAACCTCGTCCTGTTTTTTTCCACACAGCTGTTATCCCCATCCCAAATTATCATGTCCTGCCCATTCATTTGTCTCTTGAACTCCCCTTCTCTCTCGTTTAATTCCTCCTCCTCCCCAAGTCAGCTCCTGGAAAACTGATGCTTTGCATATTTTATTCACCGATGTATTCCCAGCCACACACTAGAACGGAGTTCTTACAGTAAATAGTTGGTCGAATGAATGAGTAAATGAATGAAGAACAGCTTAGAGAAGCGAGCCCACAACGGTAAGCATAGGACCAGATAGTTGAGTCATACGGTGCACATTAAATAAAGAGCTTGGAGCCATCTGCACATTTGTTTGCCCTGCTACGTGCTGCTGTTTCTTGATAGGGGAAGCTGTGCCTTTGCAGTGTTGTTATGAAGCTTGAACCAATCCCACAGCCCACATTATCTTCCCTAAAACTGCATTTGCCCCTCTATCAACTGTTTCTTTAGCTGGACCCTGATAATATGTACTCTGCAGTGATCCAGTGTTACGGAGTCTTGCAGTTAGTAGATCGTGAATACATATTTGTCCAATGAAAGAACAGTGCCATTGGTTATTTAGGGGGCATTTTTACTTCTGTGAGGTCCCTTGGAAGTTCTCCCTTAACTTGGTTAAGAAGGAACCAAAACAAGAACTGAAAATACTTAGTAGAATTATTTAGGCTCCAAAGAGTTTGAGCTCCCAAGTACTTCAGGTAAGAATACTGGGATCTCATAAATGGTTTATGAAAAAGGAAAAGGCAGTGCTTTTCTTCTTTCTTCACTTCTTGAACTTGTTGTTCCTATTATAAGTGTTTTGGAAAGTTCATTGCTATAATCTTGGTTTTTATCAAGGAAAACTAGTTTCAGATTATTCAACATGGAAAGTAAAACAGTTTACGCACTCCAAAATTAGTTTTTCCTGGAATAACCATGAGGGCAAAATTTTGAAGTTTGAATTCTCTTATGATAATAAGATGTGAAAAAAGTAGTTATTTACAATATGTGTTGTAATGCAACACTGTGTTTTCAAATATCCATGTAGATGGTGAATAATGCATTTTCTGTTGTAAGGTATTTAGGATATCAGGGAAGGTACTTCAGTTTGTCGTGTAAAATAAATTAATGGGAGGCATTTGAAGGGAAAAATCTATGTGAAAGGACAATTTAGTGATACAGGTGAAAACAGGATAGGCTAGGAGTCGGTAAGTTTTCTCATCTGTGAAAAGAGAGGACTGGAGCAGATGATTTTAGAAGTCTCTTTCAGTTCTGATAGTCTCTGATTTTGTGGAATAGTAGATCTCCGCTGGAAGTACATCAGAATCATGTGGAACTTATGAAAACTGTTCCAGTCTGGTATATAACGTAGACTGACCGAATCATAATCTTCAAGAGGTACAGTACAGACCTACATATTTTTAAAAAGATTCACAGCCTTGGTTGAGAAACACTACTGTGGAGAGAAATTTCCTTTAAATATTTATTGAACACAACTGTATATTGGACCTCATTCTGAGGAGTCAGTGGTGAGCAAAAGAGACTTGGTTCCTGCCCTTGTGGAGTTTACAATCTAGTGGAGAAACAGACATGATCACAAAAATAATTATAAACTATAATAAATGTGTCAAAGGGAAAGAACAGGGTGATATAACAGGAGGATCTAAGAAGTCTTAGAGGTTAGTAATAGATTCCTGAGGAAGTGACATTTGAGTTGAAATGGGAAGGGTGAATAGAAGTTAACTAGTTGAGGTTGGATAGATGAAAAAGGGGAACAAAGATATCCTTACAGTGAGAAGAAAATGTGAAGACTGTGAAGTGGGAAGGAGCTTGCTGTATTGGAAGAACTGGAAGGAGGCTGATGTGGTTGTAAGGTAGAGTGTGAGGGGCAGAGTGGTGGGAAATTGGATTAAAGAATTAGGTGAAAATTAGGGCATGCAGCCCCTTTTAGGCTGTGTTGTGGATTTTATTCTTGATCGTAACAGCAGTGGGATGCGATTGAAGAATTGTAAATAAAAAGGGAGTGATTAGATGTCTAGTTTGAAAGTTACATCTGTCAGCAAGGTGGAAAATGGATTGGAGAATTTAGTTAATAGTCTGGGAAAGAAATGATGGTTGCTTAGTGGCAGTGGATATGGAAAGAACTACATTACTGGACTTAGTAATTGATTGGATATTAAAATTCAAAGATTCATTTCTCTTTATTTTAAAAAAGATTTATAGACACAGGGTCTTGTTATGATGCTCGGGCTAGTCTTGAACTCCTGGCCTCAAATCATCTCCTGCCTTGGTTTCCCAAAGTGTTGAGATTACAGGTATGAGCCACCAGGCCCCACCAGATTAATATCTTCAGTTGGTATTGAGCACCAAAATGAAATGATACACCTTAGAATCTAAATTGGATACAGAAGAATGTGAAGATAGGAGAAAGTTGGTAAATATGGAGAATGCAGAGGGATCAATGAATGGGGGTAATGATGATATCAGAGAATAGTTGTAGGTGAGTGGTCAAAGAAGCAAGCTGGAAGGGTAAGTAAGAGGTTGTGGGTCAGGGAGCCACATGTTTGGATGAGTGATTTTGGAGGTAGAGTAGTTCTGGGTAATGACAAGGGTGCAAGAGGGGGCTGAGTGACACGTGCAGGTTGAAACTGAGAGCTCAGGGTGTAAGACAGGGTATACATACAGACTTTAAAGAAACTCAGTATAATGGCAAGAACAGAGGTGGAGAGGAAAACTGAGCAAAGAGGATGTTGGGGAGTGTCCAAGAGGTAATAGATGAAAACCACAAGTGAATGGGTGATAAATCTGCGTGGCCTGTGCCTCAAGAGAACAGGAGATATTTATAAGATAATGGGAGAGCAGTGATAATGATGCTATTTTGGTAAGTGAGGAGGCCAAAACCCCTACTATCTGATCTTTAGGAATTTGCAAAAATAAAAATAACTAAGGCTAGAGATGGTAGGAATAATAATCTTAGTTTTTTTTGTTTGTTTGTTTTTTTGTTTTTTTTTTAAGAAAGAGAATTTTCAAACAGAGTCAGAAGAATAGAAATTAGTAATCTGTTCTCTTCCAGGGTGGGAAGAAAACCTCATTCCCCATAGGTTCAAGACTATGGCTAGATGGTGAGGAAGGGAGCTCAGTACCCAACCTTGGGGAGACACAGAAAGGGCCCATGCCAGGCACTTGCCTGGAGGCAAGTGTAGCTTTTGGGCCACAAGACCTGATGGCCGCTGGGTACTGGCCTGGAAACAAGTCCTCATCTTCCCAGAAATGTCTTATTTTTGTCTGCAGCAGCTGGCTGGAGAAAGATTTTGGAAAGGTGTGTACCTGGAGCACCCAAAGGCATAACCTTCCCTTTTCCTTGGCATAGGCCTGATAACACTGAGGAAAGGCCATGGTTTGGCAACGGAGTGTTCAATAGTCTTCATCCCTGTAGAGTTCAGTGGCTCTTAGGGTGACAGGAGAGGAGATGACTTGAAAGACCAAGACTCAGCTTCTCCCCTACTGAAACACTATATCCTGGGGCCACAGTTCATGGCAGAACACACACTCACACACACATCTCGGGAACCCAGCAACTCGGGAGCAGGCAGCTCTGGGTATTGTTGGTCTGGAATTTGCCTACTTGGCATCTAAGCTGTCCTAAAGCTCTTTACAATCACTTCTCACTATTTCCAGGCCTATGTGGTGAGGTGCTCCAGCTTCCACTCTGTCAGGTGACTGTAAAGGCACAGTGTAGGAAAGACCCCTACTAGGATGACCACTGCTTGGAAGCAGGGAAGGCTAAGAGGCCTGCACCTACCCAAGGCTGGTATAGACATCCTCTGCTCTGCTCAAAGACTGGGATCAGGTTCAGCAACTCGGTGTCTGCCATGTCATCAAACCAGGACTGCACAGACACTGCATTCTCTGGGTGGAAGATGTAAGAAGCAGACAAGTTGTCCAGGATGAGGGTTTTCCTCAGGTTCCTCCCCAGGAGGCTGAGGTTCCTGACTTAGCAGCCCTAGTGGAATCACAGGACTCATGGAATAGGTGAGCTCGGAACACCCACACTGGTCCAGCAGATCCGTCACAGGTCAGCATACTTGGCCAGGTTGGCAGTGAAGAGAACACATTCAAAGAGTTCTCTCATTCGTCTCTTTCCGCGTGAGGCCTCTTGAGCACATACACCTGCTTGAGTGGTCTCCTCAATCTCTGTAGGCACTGTGAAGCTAGCATTGTTGCTGGGCTTAAAGATGCACAAAAGTTTCACCCAGGTCAGTGACCACACAGATCCTCCTTTGATCTTCCTCTGTCACCTTGGAGCAGGCATGTCCCTGGGATCTGATAAAACTGGTACTGGAGACACTGGAGCAGATCTGACTTAGCAGTGGTGTTGAATTCCTCCTTATATACACGAGCTCAGTGGAAGAGCTTGACTGGCCATGCTGGGTGTGAAAATAGTAGAAAAGGGCCTTGAAGATGTTACATCCACAAGGCTTCTTAAGGAGGACTTGGAGACCAGGCCTTGTTTGGTGAGCACCAGGGCGTCTTCCACCTGCGCCTGAGTGATGATGGAACTGTGCTCCATCTAATTCTGCAGGTGTGGGCTGGCTGGGTGGAAGAACCAGTGAGCCCACGGTCTAGGCTGGGCTGGGGGGCCTGGGCTTGGGCTCGCTGCAACTCTTGAGACTCCAACTCCCACAGCTGTTCACATACCCCTTCTCCTTTCCTCCCTGGGCCAGGAAGCGAGGTGGCCTGTACCGAGGGTGAGTGCCCGGGGATGGGCTCCCCTGGGTACCCTGGCTCCAGTCTCCTAGTAGCAGCTCTGGGCTTCTCAGTTTGGGTCCAAAATGGAGAATCCAGAGTGAAAACGAGAGGGATAATCCTTCTGAGAAGAGATGGACAGTATAGCAAAATATATGCCGTGCTGTGGATGGAACATAGTGGACATTTTTTGGGAAGCAGAGAGAGGTGGAGAGTTGGATGAGAGGCAAAGACAATAGGTTGGGTAAATGATGGGAAAAGAAAGGGTCTTCTATTTTGTCTCTTGGCTGATGAAAATAGAAAGTAAATTAGGCCCTGGTTGTGTTGTTCAGGAGAGTTGCCAGCAGCCCTAATGGACTGAAGATTTGGATCACCCTGCTTGAAGTATTGTCCGACCAGCAACTATGCTTCCAGGGTATGAGGCTTTGTGGGAGGGCCTAGGCCTAGGGGAGATGTTCCCAGTGTTTGGAATAACAGTAGCGCTTTGATGATTAACTAAGAATATATAGAACAAACTAGGAGCTTGGTTATTCTCCGTAAATGCAGAATGGCGTTGGAAATCAAAGCAAGTATGAAATAAATGTGGTAAGCACTAAACAGTTGCTAAATGTAGCGTAATAGACTCTTAAATGCACGCTCTAATTTCTCACGTACTGCAAGAGGAGAAGGAGTGATGATAAGTATTGAGAGTTTTTTTTTTAATGAAAGTAAAAAAATAAGTACTGTGCTGCTTAAGAGAGGTCTGTGGACTAGCAGCATCATCACCACCTGGGCAGTAGAAATGCAGAATCCCAGACTTCATTCCAGCTCTACTGAATTAGAATCTTTATTTTAATAAGACCCTCAGGAGATTCCTATGCACATAAAAGTTTAAGAAGCACTGTTCTAGCCAGAAAAGTGCTTTCATATTCTTACTCAGTTATCTAGCAGAATATTTTGAGACACTTCTGTTGCATAAGACAATTAGATACATTTCTGGATAGTGACAGAACAGTAGGGGCTAAGAGTGCGGGGCTGTAGAGAGAGGTTGTGTGGCTCGGTTCTGGGACGATTGTTCGCTATGATTATGGCCATCCCGGACGAATTATTTACCTGTATCTTCCTGAGCTTCCTCATCTGTAAAATGAAGCTAATAATCGTATCTACCTTATAGGGTATTGTGGCAATTAAGTGAGAGAATTTATATAAATCATTTAGTGCTGACCCAACATACAGTTAGCACTTTATAAATATTAGCCACTATTGTGATTTTGATTGTTAATTAGATGTTCAGGTATGTTAAATGCATTTATTTTTTCCTCTTTTTATTTTTACTTCACCTGATGAGCTAAGGCATTAAAGATTAGATTTTTTTTCCAAATTCAGAATTTTTTCTGAATTTGATCAGTTTTTGTTGGTTTTTATTATTGACATTTCAGTTAAAAAAAAACTTACACCAATATGAATTAAATTATTTCAAGAGTTTATGAGTTTTGCTTTATTGCAGAAATGAAAGCAAGTAAGAGGATCTAAGATGTTTACTATGAAATCTCATTGAGAGGCATTGTAAGACATGGAGGAAGGCTGAGTCATAGAAGAACCAGCCTTGAGCTGGGGGTGCAGAAATAATCTTCTAGTCTCAGCTCTGCCTTTACTTGGCTGTATCAGCTGGACCAGGTTATTTCCTTAGTTTCCTGATAGTTGTAGACAGGTCTAACAAGACCTACGTTAACGATGGAGCATTTGGGTTAAACGTGGATTTAAATGCTAGTGCCATCTTCTGATTCTACACAATTAGGATAATGCTAACTTAAAGCATTGCTGTAAAGATTAAATGAAATATATATATATATATATATGCATGCCTAGCACTGTGCCTGGCCTGCTACATAAAGGCAGGTTTCCTAATGTCATGAAGTCTTAGTTTCTTTACCTACAAAATGAGGATTTGAAAATACCTGTACTCACCTTCATCTGATATAACTAGAGAATTCAAAGAAAAAGAAATGCAAGTGGCCTTTAAACATATGCAAAGATGCCCTATGTCTTGCTCATAAGAGAAATGTAGATAAAACTATATACTGAGTTACCAGATGGTCAAAAACCCAAAAGTTTGACAACTTTGGTGAATGATGAGGGAATGGGTACCCTGATGCTTTGATGGTACAACCCCTCTGCAGGAGAATTTCATAGTATCTAGCAAAGTTACGTATCTATTTACCCTTTGACCCAACAGCCTCACCTCTAGGAATCTATCCTAGATATAAACTGACAAAAATTTGCCGAATTATATTAATAAAACACTGGAAACAGTCGAAGTGTCCTTTAGTAGATGCTGATTAAATAAAATATGGTGCATCCAGACAGTGGGGTAGTATATAACTGTAAAAAATGGTTGAATAATATCTCTAAATACTGATCTCTACTAATGTAAATGTATGTGTGTGTGAGCATGTATGTGTTTTAAAGCAAGGACTAGAACAGTATATAGTAGGCTACCTTTTATCTGAAAGAGGAGACAAAAATGCATATATTTATGTTGAAAAACATGATGGAAGGACAATCCCAAACTAATAAATATGGTCACCTGGAGGGGAGGGAGGGAACAGAGTAGAGGATACAAGATTAAAATTGCAAACTAGATTTTTCTGAAGTACTTTGTTTTTTAAGTTAGACTTTGAAACCGCATTAATGTTTTACATAATTATAAGACAAAAATGAAATAAAAAGAAACAAATCCCTATAAATTAAAAGCTGAACAAAACAAATGTCTATTGATGTATTGAGTAGGTGGTTTAATCACATGGGAATGGTTTTTCTGTATATCCTTACAGGAATACATTGTAAATATAAAAAAATTAAACTGTAATTTTATTGTTGGTAGTAAGCTAGATTTCCTATTCTGAAGCCATATGTAATTTATACCTATTTTAATATATTAGGAATTTGTAAATGTTATTAAAACAAGACTTGTCATTGTAAGAGAAGATAAAAATGTAAAACAAAATAAGTAAAACCCCTACAATTCTAAATGCCAGTTGGAAATAGCAATATGAACTCCTAATATAGTTTCTCTGAAAAAAGGCATAGAAACAGTGGTACCAGCTTATGTACTCTAAATATCATTAAAAGAATTGGGGCTCCTTGGAGAAATGCCTGATTCCAAGTCTAAGGCAGGAAGATGATGTTGTAGAAAGCAAGGAAAGTATTCAGAGAGTACGGGGGACAAGACAAAGGGCTCCATTGGCCTATGTGAATGGGCTACTACAAATCAGAGATAGAAGAATTTGAGTATCAAAAGAATAATAACTGTAATGGATTAAAACACATCAAATATATTATCTATGAGTTTATAATGTTAACAAAAGTTCAGTTACAAAAAGAACCATAAAAGTAGAAAACTGATCATCTAATTTAGTTAAGATAGTATATAAAGTGTTTTGAAAATTTAAGATTCTTGTGAAATACAACTTGCAGAAATGTTTAAAAGTGTAAAATTATAAATAAATGAGGCCAGGTGCGATGGCTTCACACCTGTAATCCCAGCACTTTGGGAAGCTGAGGTGGGTGGATTGCTTGAGCTCAGGAGAGCCTGGCCAACACGGCTAAATCTCCTTTCTACTAAAAATACAAACATTAGCTGTGTGTGGTGGCAGGTGCCCATAATCCTAGCTACTCTGGTGGCTGAGGCATGAGAATCGCTTGAACCCTGGAGGCAGAGGTTGCAGTGAGCTCAGATTGTGTCACTACACTCCCGCCAGGGTGACAGAGTGAGACCCTGTCTCAAAATTAAATAAGTAAATAAAATAATATAAAATAAAAGGTTTAGATTAAAATGATCTAGTAGGTTCTTTTCAACTTTAGCCTTTTTAAATTTGTAATTTGTATCTGTGCTTTTTTTCACCACACTTTTATTATAATTAATGTAAGGTTATTAGACTTTATGCTGTATTTGATTTTGTGATATCTGTGGAATTTATCTTAAAATTGGTAGATAATTTTACTGTGGAATGTTAAAACATAGGAAAAAAGCTAAATGTTAATTAGATAGAGCAGGAATCAGCAAACCATTTCTTTAAAAGGCCATGTAGTGATCATTTTCAGTTACAACTACTTAGCTCTTCCATTGTAGTGTGGAAACAGCCATAGCTAATTTGTGGATTAATACATTTAATGGCTGTGTTCCAATAACATTTTATTTACTAAAACAAGCAGCAGACCTTGACACAGAGTATTGAAAGTTTTTTTGTTTGATTGGCTTATTTAGTTTTTAACTGGTATTTCTTCCTTTCTAGGTATAAAGGACCACTGTTAGAAGAGCAAGCCCTTACGAAGGCAGCAGAGGGTGGATTATCTTCACCTGAATTTTCAGAGCTCTGCATTTGGTTAGGCTCTCAAATAAAATCATTATGCAACTTGGAAGAAAGTATCACGTCTGCTGGTATTGCTATTATGTTTTATTTACTTTTCTGTTTAATAGTAAGATAAACTGATAACTTATGGTTTATAGTTTTATCAATAATGTGCCCATTGTACAAAGAAAAATCACATATTCCAAAGAATTTCAGTATGTGGTAGTAAGCATGTTTGGATTACATTTTATGTTAATCCAAAATTGATACTTAAATTTGCTATAAAACTATAAGCAATTCCTATTTATCTGCTATTTTTTTCTCTTCCTGACAACTCTGATATCTGCTGTCTAAACCTTAGTATAGTTTTTTAGAAAAAGTAGGGTCTGAATTTGATTATTTAAAAGTTTAATTTTTGAATGGTGCTGATGTTGAATTAAGGCTTAAAATACTATATATACATGTAATTACTAATTTGTGTTCCGAAGCTTGTAGCTCAGGATATGGATTCACATAGGAATACCTCTATTAAAAACGTCTGTACTAGCTCGTAAAGCTTCTTTAGTTCATCACCATCTTAGTAACTGGAGTCCTGTGGGTCTTTGGTAGAATTTCAGATATTAATAGTATAATAAAAAGAAAAATTAAAAATTGTGCATTCACAAAAGTAGCTTTTTCTTTGAAAGGTATCCCTTTTTTTCTTAAGAGATGGGGTCTTGTTATGTTGCCCAGACTGGACTTGAACTCCTGGGCTCAAGCAATTCTCTCACCCCACCCTCCTGAGTAGTTGAAGCTGCAGATACGGGCTACCGCACCCAGCTTATCCTTACTTTTCAGTTGTTTTTTCCTTGCCAGATATAACAGTTCACTTGATGCAAAGTAAAATAAGTTGAATTCTAAACATATAATACGACTGCCTACATAATTACATTATGAAATAAAGATAGGCACTGAGGGTTAAATGGTTGCATTTATTTTTCTGAATATATAGAAATACAGTAGAAATGGATCATTTGCTCTGAAGTGAATTAATAATTATAGCCATAATAATGCTTTTACTATTTCAGTTGTTAACATAAGCTTTGTGATCACACATTTAAGGATTTAATGTGAAAATTTAGAATTGAATGTAAAATGGAAATAAACGAGTAGATTTTATAGTATTGTATTATATGGTAAATGCTCAGTAAATGTTTTATAATTTTTCTTTTTTAAAGGAAGAGATGATCTAGAGAGCTTCCAGCTTGAGATAAGTGGCTTTTTAAAAGAAATGGCGTGTCCATATTCTGTACTCATATCAGGAGATATTAAAGATCGTTTAAAAAAGAAGGAGGACTGTTTGAAACTTCTATGTAAGTTATGTTGAACACTTAAATGCATGTGTTTGATATGGTTTTTATTATTTTCAAGTCAAGATTTATTAATGAAGCATTAGACATTTTGTATATTAAAAAGGTTTTAATATTTTACTTAAAATACAAAGCTATCTCAGAAATGTTTATATAATATAGTATGAATTTTACCAGTATACCTTCTAACACTTGTGATTTATTTGGCCAATGTAGAATGTCCTGTGTTTGGGATTTATATAGTGCTTTAGTAATTTTTTCTTTATCTCATTCTGTCTGTTATTATTATTCCTGACTATGTGGCTAAAGTTGATGATCTCCAAGGTCCTATTTAATCTTAAAGCTCTCTGAAACTAGGCACTGGATGATAATTTGTTAAAAAAAAAAATTGTTGATCACTTACTCTTGTACCAGGAACTACTCTGGATACTAGAGATATATGAGGGTTGTTTGTTTGCTTTTTTTTTTTTTTTAAAGATAAAATTTGTGCCTTTAGGACACTTATATGTGACCAGTTTCATCAGGGAGGGATTTGGAATATAGATCATACTGTATTCAAACAATTGCCGTGAATAGTAGGTCCATGTTTGTATTGGGTTCTTTCATCATTTTTTTACTTTAGGTTAATTTTATAATGTTTTTAAAGTTCTACAAACAATGACTAATCTAATACCTTTTATTATTGAAGATTTCTCTTTCAGATTATACCATTTATAAAAAGATTACATGTGACATATTCCTCCTAGGTGCTAGTGTTTTAATAAAGTTTGTTTCATTGGAGATGAAATGTGTGTGTGTGTGTGTGTGTGTGTAGTGGTGTTAAAAGTATTGGCATTGAAATTACCTTGTATGTGTTGAGTGGGGATAAAAATTATATGCCCTCTCTCTCCATCCCAATACACCGTTCTCCATCTTCCTCCCATCTGGTGCGAGTCACTGATTTAATGAACCACTGTTAATGGGAGATCACAGTAACTCTTAGGTATTTTGGAACAGAAAGGAACCTAAGAAGCACCGACTAGAGGAACTTGCATATCCTTAATATCAGTCAATGAGAATTATGTAATCCATCATGGTTCCCTTTTTTCCTTAGCTGCTAAGAAGCTTAGCAATTGTAGTGATACAGGTTTCTGGTACAAGTAGGAATAAAGAAGAGATTTAAGAGAAGTATATCGTTTTTTCTGATTTTAAAAATAACATGCTCAGGGGGGCGGTGATGAGGAGTTAGTGTTTAATGGGTACAGAGTTTCAGTGGGGAAGATGAAAAAGTTCTGAAGATGGTGATGTCATAGAACTGTATACTTAAAAATGATTAAAATGGTAAATTTTATATGGTCAACAATTACATGCTTATAGAAATCTTAGAAAATACATAAAACATAAAAGCATTTATAATTTCACTCCTTAGAGAGAATATTGTGTCTTTGTCTTCTGTGTAAATACACACACACTGTCACACTCTCACTCACTCTTAAATAAGATAAAGATCTTGTTACAGCTTTTTCTCCTCCTCTTCATTTGATATATCGTTTATCTCTTTATTTCCCTATCACTTTTTTTTGAAAAAATAAATTGGCTCTGCTGTTGACATAACGTTATGTGTAATAGATTTCAAATTTGGAGGTATTTGGATTTTTTTCTATTTTGAAATGATTTCCTTGTTTATATTTTTGCTTACTTAAACAAAGATTATGAACATTTAAAATAGTCTCTGGTCTAGATGTGTATTGCCATATTTTGCTCCAGAAAGGTTATACCAGTTCACAGTCTTACCAGCATCTATTCTTTCTTCAGTTCAACTGTTTTAATCATATTGATATAATAAGCTTCTTTGTGTTCTCTTTGAAAGTGTTTGCAACATGTATAAAATACAAAGGGCCAAATTCTGTACCATGTAAAGAGCTTTTATAAATCAAGACAAAAAAGATAAAAATTCACTGAGAAAATATGTAAAATACATAAGACATGAACATGCATTCTACAGAAAATTTTTTTTAACTGCTTCTAAGCATGACAAGATGCACAATATCACTTATGACAGGATACCATTTTTCACTCAAAAAATCATAATAGAAGTTTGGGGGAGTAAGCCTTTTCGTATACTACAGACGTTAGACTGTGGTGGGAGAATAGCTTGTACAGCCTCTTAGGAGGACACATTTTCAGTGTCACATTAAAAATCACTAGGCCTTTGGACTTGGCAATTCTTTTGACTTGGCAATTCTTTGTCTATGAATATATATCTATTTCCCTAAGTGTACAAAGATAAAAGAAAACCATGTTCATTGTGACATTGTAGTAGCAAAAAGACCAGAAACCTGAGTGTCCATAAATATAGATAAATAGAAATGGTACCTTAATGCAGTGATGTCACTAGATAGGTAACAGGAAGAATGCAGATAAATCAAACGTGCTGATATGGAGTGATCTCTAAGATATGTTGGTAAATACAAAATAAATATACAGAACATGGCCGAGCACAGTGGCTCACGCCTGTAATCCCAGCACTTTGGGAGGCTGAGGCGGGCAGATCACAAGGTCAGGAGATCGAGACCATCCTGGCTAGCACGGTGAAACCCCGTCTCTACTAAAAATACAAAAAAAAAATTAGCCGGGCGCGGTGGCGGGCGCCTGTAGTCCCAGCTACTTGGGAGGCTGAGGCAGGAGAATGGCATGAACCCGGGAGGTGGAGCTTGCAGTGAGCCGAGATTGCGCCACTGCACTCCAGCCTGGGCAACAGAGCGAGACTCCGTCTCAAAAAAAAAAAAAAAAAAAAAAAAAAAATATATATATACACACACACACACACACACACAGAACATGTATAGCATGTTCTTGTTTATATAAAAGAAAAGCACGTAGATGGCTACTGTGTATCTTGAATACCTATACACACACATGCCTAAAAGGGTACCCAAGAAATTAATGGTGATTGCCTCTGGGGAGGGGGAATCTAAGGATCTGCAAAAGGAAGAAGGCTTACTTTTCCCTACACTGCTTACTATCTGCATGGATTAGCATCGTAAATGCTAGACTCTTGTCTGTACTCTTACATAGGGAACTTTCCGCATGTTTCCATACAGCAACAATAGACTTCAGCCAAGGTTCTGTCTAAAATATAAATTTTTGAAAAACTGATAATCTGTTTAATCAAGTTTTTATTATAAGATGGGGTCTCACTGTGTCGCCCAGGCTGGAGTGCAATGGTGTGATTGTAGCTCACTGGTCCTCTGCAAACTCTGGCTTAAGCAATCCTCTTCCCTCAGCCTGCGTGGCTGGGACTACAGGCATACACCACCATGCCTAGTTAAGTTTTAAAAAATCTTTTGTAAAGATGGGGTCTGTGTTGCCCAGGTGGGTCTTAAACTCCTGCGCCCAAGCTGTCCTCCCCCTCTTAGCCTCCCAAAATACTGGGATTACAGGCCCGAGCCACCACACCTGGTCTTAATGAAGTTTTTAAGTCAAAAGGACCTTAGTATAGTCCTCATAAAGAAAATTTAATATTGGTCTTAAAGTTTAATAATTGATCTTAATATTTTGGTATTTGACTCTTTAAACTGTCATATGTAGACTGCATGGAAAAGTCTTTAAGCCAGTGACTATCAATCTTGCCTATCCTTGACAATCACACTGGGTCTAAAACAAACCACACACAGATGCCCAACTCCTACTTCTGGATCTACTGTTCAGAATCTCAGAGAATGGGACCCTGGCACCTGTACTTTTAAATTGTTTTTCAGATGTATTTGCTGTTCAGCTGAAGTTAAAACTGCTATATTAAATTGTGGCGTTTATGTCTAATTTTAACTAAACAAATAAAAACAAAGAATTTTTATTTATTTATTTATTTTAGACGGAATCTGCTCTGTCACCCAGGCTGGAGTGCAATAGCAAGATCTTGGCTCAGTGCAGCCTTCGCCTCTGGGTTCAAGCAATTCTCCTGCCTCAGCCTCTGTAGTAGCTGGGCCTACAGGCATGTGCCACCGCACTTGGCTAATTTTTGTGCTTTTAGTAGAGTCGGGATTTTACCATGTTGGCCAGGCTCGTTTTGAACTCCTAACCTCAGGTGATCTGAGTGCTGGGATTATAGGTGTGAGCCACCATGCCCAGCCAAAAACAAAGTCTTACCTACTGTAGTGAAGAGTCTCTTTAAAACAAGACTATAACCATTTAAGATTTTTGAGTAATTTTCTTAAATATGGCTGTTGAAAGGATTAGATGAAACGGTGAAAGTAAAGGGACTTGTAAACAGTTTGGGGTGGTCTATCCTGACTCAAATTGCTCTATGTGCTTATAGATCAGTTAAAGTTAGAGCTATATGTTCTTCCCTGACCTGCGTGCTCTGTACGTATGAGACAGAATAATTTACCGGAGTCTTACACATTCTTACCTGTTCTTAAATTGTTGATTTGGTGGTGGGTCTCAACTACTGGATTTTATACTCTTTGAGGGTAGGCATCATATCTTCCTTGACTTGGCATCCCCATTGTTCACACCGTTCCTGGCTCAGAACAGGTCCTTGGTAAACATGTACTTACTGAAATAGCAATCTAGATCATTTAATATGTTAATTAAAATGGAACTGAAACCAGCTAGTGTGAAATCAAAGAGAATAAAATAAACCATTTCTCTTTTTCCTGGTGGTATTAAATAAATTCATTTTAGTTTTTCGCTTCTAGTGCCCTTTTTTCTGTACCCATTCATCTGTTTCAAACTAAGTCTTAGGTTAAACCTCTATAGGTAAAGTAGATGAAAGTTAAGCTGCTGTTTTGTAGGGCCTGGATCTTTGCCTGCTTAACTCCAGTAGGAGCTACTAGGGCTCCTCCAGTGTGAAAAGAATCAACCATTTAAAGTACAGTGTAAATGCATTTTAATAGGGTGTCTATTTTATATAGCTTTAGTTGTTTTTTCTCATTTCATTAAAAAAAAGAAAGTAACGCTATGGACTAGGGAATCATTTCATTTATAAGTTTACAGTGTTCTACAGCTATTGGTATTCTTTGGATCTTTGTGAGTTGGCATTATTGGTATTAATTGATACTTGTTTTAAGTGAATAATTTCAGTGAAATATTTTAAGAGATTCTTATGCATGTATTAACATTATTTATTTTCTCTTTATTCTAGTATTTTTAAGTACTGAACTTCAAGCTTCACAGATACTACAGAACAAGAAACATAAAAATTCTCAATTAGATAAAAATAGTGACATTTATCAGGAAGTTCAAGCTATGTTTGATACACTTGGTATGCCCAAGTCGACAACTTCTGACATTCCGCATATGCTAAACCAAGTGGAATCAAAGGTATTATCTTGTTTTATTTTCCCCCAAATTCAACTGAATGCTAACATGTAAGTGCTATATTAAAAATGAAACTATTCCCTATAATTATGCGATGTACATTTTATTTCAAGAGTTTATCTTCATGTTAACCCAGTTTTGGATTCAGACCTAACAGGCTTGTGACCTAATTTGTCAGTAGCTAATATTCAGGAATCAAATCTTAATGCTTCATTTTTGCCAGAGTTTAACATGATAGAAATCGCTTAGCAAAGTTAAGGATCACTTTCCTAACCAGGGTTGTAATGTAGTATAAGAAAGAAAGAAAGAAAGAGAGAGAGAGAAGAGAAAGAGAAAAGGAAGAAAGAAGTAGAGTTATCCTACAAAGTCAAAGGAGAGTAAACTTTTAAAAAAATGGATGTTAATAGAATTGCAGTGTGGTTTCTTTAACAGTGAGCATGCAGTTTTTAGTGGATAAATGTTTAGTAAGAGTAAATGCATTATATAATGAATGGAAGAATGTATTAATTAGGACCCTGATGGGGATAGTTAAAAACAACTACAGACTATGTACCTTATGTACTTTGGCATTTTTTTTTTTTCCAGTTAGTGAACAACTCTTGTTCGCAGTCAAACCATATATTAGAGAGGATGCTACTCTCGCAGACCAAATTCTGGCCTAGTTCCTGGGTTCCATTTGTTAAATATGCAGTCCTCTAGGGGAATAATACAGGATTCATTTTAAAGGAAAATAAAATTCTTGCCTAACCTTCAAGAATAAGTACATAACTCCATTTTTAGACACAGTGCCTTAAACTAAATCCTTGTTCAGTAAAGATCTCTTTTGCATTGATAATTTATGAACTGAAAAATAAGGTTTGTCTTAATGAATGTAAGAGAATTATAGTGTCATTAAGATAAAAACAGAATACTAAAAAAATGTTTTTTGGTAGAACTTGCAAACCAGAGACTAAGTCTGTGAATCTCAGCTCAAAAACATTCTTAGAGAGTTAACAAGTTACTCTTCAGAATTTTTTTCTGTTTTCCTCTGGATGAAGACTGATCTGGGGGTTTACTACATTTTCTGGGACTATTTCAAATTAGACAGATTTCTGAGCTCATCATAATTTTCTAGTGCTTCTCAAAGTGGCTATTCCTTTTTATGGGTTTTATTTAGTATTAACAACATTCTCAATTACCTCCTTTCCCTACTTGGAAGCAGTCTGTAATGCCTAGGTTCAAATACTGGCATACTAATTATAAGGTAGTTGTTACTATGACCATCTTGGCTAAATACTTCCTTAAAAGGTCTTCCTACTCTGTTCAGTTTTTAACCAAAAGTAAAAGTTTTCATGTTTTCTTTCTTCTACATGTGATTTGTCCAGAAGACACTTTGTTATCACTGGGGAAGGAAAGTATTATTTTCTAACTTAAAGTTGTTCAAATGTGTAATTATAGTGGTATAATTACAACAAATATATAGTGGTGGTATAATAACAGCAAATATATAGCATTCACTTTTCTAAATGTTTACATGTAATAACTCACTTAATACTAACATCACCCATGTGAGTAAATGCTTATATGTAATAACTCAATTCTCACATCACCCAAGGTTATGGGTAATACATCACCCCTGTGTAGTATTACCTAGACAACCATGTGAGGAAACTGAGGTACTGAAAGATTTAATAAGTTAAACAAGTGAATTTCTAAATGGTGGTAGACCTGAGGTTTAAACCCAGGTAGTCAACCTTCACAGCCTGTGCCCTTAACTTACTCTATAACAAGTGATTTTTCAGATTTATTAAAACTATTACGTAATGTTGGAATCCTAGGAATGGAGCTGAATATGATTACACATAACAAACTACAAGTATACATTGAGAATTCCTCTGGAGTGAGGAGTTACAACTCATACTTTTTATAATGTATGAAAAAACCTAAAATTGGAGATATTTACAATAGTTGGAGAATCTACAGAAATGGTCCGTTTTAAGAAAATAATAATTTCTTTAAAATATGTAACAAATGTATCAGTACAGAAATTGTATCATTGTAGATGTAGATTTGCTGTGAAGCTACTAAAGCTGAAGTTTTGGAGTCACTTATTTGCATAGGTTCTTTCTAAGCTAATTTTTTTAAAACACCATTTTTGAAATGTAATCATGCCATAAAATTTGCCCATTTTGAGTGTGTGTATATATATATATATTTCATATATATATATATATAGTTCAGTGCATTTTCGTATATTTACAGAGTTCGACAACCATCACCAAACTCTTTAATTTAGAGCTTTTCCATCACCCTCAGAAGAAATCTCCACTGTGCCCATTTACAGTTACTCCACATTGCAACTCCAGCCTCCAAGCTAATTTTGAATTCTTTCCTTAAAGATTGCCCCCAACATTAAATAAGCTTCATGCTCCTCAAAATCTGAACTGCCCTTGATTAGAAAAAAATTATAAATATTTCATTTGGTTTTGTAAATATTTTCTTTAGCTAATGATGGATTCTCCAGTCAGGAAGGTAAATTAATCCTTTAGTTAGGAGGATAAATTACTGAATGACCCTGATATTGCTAAAGGAAAAATAAATGCCTAATATCTTTTTTATCAAAATAAAAATGTTTCAAGTAATTTAAATTAGGGGCTTTGCACAAGTAATGAAAATATGTACATGATGACCGTAATTGAGATAGATGGCTTGTTCCCTTATGTTGTCTTGCTGAACAATGAATGAGAATACTTACAACTGGAATGTATACATAGCATTTATTTGAGAAAAATCAATGTGCTGGTGAAAGGTTTTAGTATACCTTTTGAAAATGTACTAGGAAGTAGGAAAGTGCTATCTTAAGTAGGAACTCCAAAGTTATTTCACTAAGACACAGATTCTCATAGTAGAACCTAGGTACTTCTTTAGCTGTCTGGGTATGTTCATTCTTATGCTGGGAAAGAATGTGTTCTATAGCTTGAATGAATATAATGTGCTTTTTTGAAAAAGATACTCTGTTTTGTAGTGGTATTCTGGTGTGCGATGGTATATTTTAATTATGTCACTTTACCATTTTATTCTGTAGTGTTCAGAGCAATACTTTAAACAAGCATAAGATTGTTTTAAATTAGGAATATACATTTTTCACAATCTTTCATATTTACTTTTAGGTGAAAGATATTCTCTCAAAGGTCCAGAAAAATCATGTGGGAAAACCACTGCTGAAAATTGATTTAACTTCAGAACAGGCGGTAAATCCCCCTTTTTGTTATTAATTTTATGTAATTAAATTAGTAAATATGACTTAATTTTATAAATGAACATCTATTTTGCAATATATAGTATGTGTATATTATTTTGTAGAGTTAAAATTGATTGCTCTTCTGGAGTAATATTTCCTAACATTTCTTTAGTTAAATCACTAATTAATTTTTAAAAATACCTGGTTGAGAATATTTATAATGCTCAATGTGCTAGCACAGCTGTGATCTGAAAAGAACAGAGGCTCAAAGCCAGCAAGATGAGTTATTGGTATTTTCTTTTCTTATTGGTCCAGAGTGCTTAGCAGGTAAATGTTTTACTTAAATTAACATATTTGATTACAGATAAGGTATACTCTGCCAACAGGTGGAATTTAATTTGTATGTTTAATGTCTTCTGGATATCATAAATGTTCTTTCGGTTATGCTTTAGTATTTAAATAATTTACTGTAAAGTCTCATGGGAACAGAAAATGGTGAGTAAGTGCAATATCTTTTGACTCAGTAGGAAGTACTTAGCACAATTTTCACATTTCTTTTCTTTGCAGAATGAAAGAATCTAAAGTTTATTATTTTTGTCTCCAAATTTTTAAGGAACAACTTGAAAGAATAAATGATGCTCTTTCCTGTGAATATGAGTGCCGCCGGCGAATGTTAATGAAACGATTAGATGTGACTGTACAGTCCTTTGGATGGTCTGATAGAGCAAAGGTAAGGCTGTTTTCCCATATGTGTCCTGTAGGTGGTAGCCTATAACAGCTCTTCTGGCTTGCTTGTCTGTTATGTAACCAAGCCATATTTGCACTTCATCGCTATCTCAACTACATGTCCAGGCCAACTACTGGTCTTACAAGATGATCCTGGTCTTGTATAAATCCCTGTTGCATATAACTTATTTTTTCCCCACGGTTTTGACATTTATTTTAAACTCATAGATACTGTGATTTATGCCAGGATATGCATAAAAGAAGGGGCATCATATGAGATAACGAGATAGATACGGTGAGCGATGTAACAAGAAAGCAGGATATAAGAATAGTTGCAGGTAGTGCTGATGCCAACAGGTCTTAAAATTATCCTAAGGCTGGATGAATATAGAATGTGTTTCAGTTGAGGAGGGGGTTGGGAGGTGAGGGCATTTCCAAATTTGAATCTCTTCAGATAGCTTTCTAAAGAGCTTGTCCCATCACTCCCATTTTATGCCCCTAATCTGTACCCATGCTTAGTCTGGGATCACTCCTCACCCCCGTTCTCCCCACCCTGTATCATCACCTGGAAACTCTCCAGGCAGTAAGCTGAGACAATTACAGGCCTTCTCCTCACTTAGGGATCATTGTCCTGTGTTCCTTGATGTCCATTGTCTGACCATCATTGGTTCATATCACGTGGGTTATCCAGTTTTTTAGTTGTTTCAGGTGGGAGAGTAAATCTGGTGCTGATTATCTTGACTGCAAGTGGAATTTCAGGTATTATTATTTTTACATTTTTTGAATTAACTGGGCAGTTCTTCTGCCCCATGTTAGACCAGTTGGGGTCACTTATGCCAGCAATTCCCAAACTTTTTGGCACCAGGGACTGGTTTCGTGGAAAACAGTTTTTCCACGGAGGGTCGGGGGGCAGGGAGAGGGTTTTGTCATGAAACTGTTCCACCTCAGATCATCAGGCATTAGCTTCTCATGAGTATGGTGCTTCTGTTACCTTGTCTTTCACATGATGTCTCTTTCCATGTGATGTATTAGTTTCCTGTGGCTGCTGTGAAAGTTTACCACAAATTTAGTAGCTTAAGTAATACAGATTTATTCTCTTAAAATTTGGAGATTAGCAGTCCTGAAGTGAAGGTATTGGCAGGGTTGCGTTCTTCCTGGATGCTTTAGGGGAGAATCTGTTTCCTTGCATTTCCTAGCTCCTAAATGCCACCTGCATAGTTTAGCTCTTGGCTTCATCTCCTCTCTTCAGAGCCAGTAGCCTAATAAAATCTTCGAGCCTTTCTCTCTCTCTCTGCTTCCATTGTTACACTGCCTTCTCCTGTCCCTGACACTCCTGTCTGTCCCTTATGAGGACCCTTGTGATTATATTAGGCCCGCACAGCTAATACAAAATAACCTCTCCATTTCAAGATGTTTAATTTAATCACACCTGCATCTGCAAGGTAACATTCACAGGTTTCAGGAATTAGGATGTGGACATCTTTGGAGGACTAATCAACTTACAAAGGGGCTTCTAAATGAATTTTATTTTTTCTTGCATTGTATTTCTGCAATATGATAAAATGCTTTTTTTTTTTTTTTTTTTTTTTTAACTGTAGTTTGAAAAATTAGGACTTCTAATGAGTTCTCCATTTTGTTTTTTTTGAGACAGAGTCTGACTGTGTCACCCAGGCTGGAGTGCAGTGGCGCGGTCTCGGCTCACTGCAAGCTCCGCCTCCCGGGTTCACGCCATTCTCCTGCCTCAGCCTCCCGAGTAGCTGGGACCACAGGCGCCCACCTCCACGCCCGGCTGATTTTTTTGTATTTTTTTTTAGCAGAGATGGAGTTTCACCATGTTGGCCAGGATGGTCTTATCTCCTGACCTCGTGATCCGCTCGCTTCGGCCTCCCAAAGTGCTAGGATTACAGGCGTGAGCCACCGCGCCTGGCCGAGTTCTCCATTTTCTGTATACTTTTTCTCTGAGAAACTTGCATCCACTTGTTGCAATTTGGGCTGTTTGCATGGCTATCCTTGGCTGCTCTACTACCTTCTAGATCCCATGGTCACTCTTTCTTTATCCCCTTGTTCTGTTGTAGGAAATCCACAAGTAATTTCCAAACAAGGAGTGCATAGGAGGTGATTTTTCTCAATCTCTTGCATTTTGAAAATGTTTAGTCTGCTTTCACATTTGAATATAAAATTCTAGGTTGAAAATATATTTCTCTAAGAATATTGAAGGCATTGCATCATCGTTTTCAAGTATTTAATGCTGCTGTTAAGAAAACTGACTCCATTCTGTGTTTTTGTGTGACCTATTATTTTTCTCTGTAAGCTTTTGGAGTATTTATCCTTGGAGTTCAGCAATTGCACAACATATGTTGGTCTGAGTTTTTTTTTCGTTCATCGTGCCTTACTAGATGAACCTTTCAATATGTAGACTCTTTCAGCTTTTATATTTTCCTTTATTTGTTTTTCCCTTTTGTTTTCTTTATTCTCTTTCTGAAATGCTTTAGTCAGATATTAAACATTCTAGATAGACCCACTTAAGTTGTTTTATTTTTTCCTCTCATTTTCCCTTTTTTGATTCACTCTCAGAAATGTTTTTAACTTTATTTTATAGTTGGTGTTGAATTTTTGTTTCTGTAATTATTCTTAAAATTTCCTTAAATTCTTTTTGTTTCTTGATTTTTTAAAAATATTTTTTGGTATACTATCATCTTGAATAAAGAAACTTTGCTTTTGTAATTTTTTTTTTTCTACTTTCAATTATCTGTTTCCTCCAGCATAATTTTTTGTTTATTTAGTTGTTTTTCTTGGTCTCTCTCATGTTGGTGGCTTCTTCAGCTGCATAGTAGTTTTTGGTTGTCCATATTTAAGAGTAAAGCACCGGCTATCCATGGTAGTGTGTGCCTATAGTCCCAGCTACTCAGGAGGCTGAGGCGGGAGGATCACTTGAGCCCAGGAGTTTGAGGCTGCAGTGAGCTATAATCATGCCACTGCACTACAGCTTGGGCGACAGAGCAAGACTTTGTCTCTAATAATAAAGGCAGTTGGGGTGGGAGGGCAGGTGGTGTGCTCACACGTATAATCTCAACACTTTGGGAGGTTGAGCTGGGATTACTTGAGCCCAGGAGTTCAAAACCAGCCTGATCAACATAGCGAGTCACAGTCTCTTTAAAAGAAAAGAGTAAAGCACGATAAAGCCTGTTGGGAACTACGGTCATTATTAGGGATCATTAACGTCAGACTTTGGAGCTGGCTGATGTGCTGTGGCAATTCTTAATGCCAACGTGTGGTCTTTGTAGTTGCTCATTTTTTCAGGAAAAGAAACCTCATTTTTTTTTTCCCCCTATATACTGTATTTTAATTTGTCCAGGAAAGGAGTAGCAGCATGTCATCAGGGGTTGGAGGCATGGACTGTTTTACAAATAGACTTTGAGTGTTTTGAAATGTTGGTTCCCTTTTTATCTGTACCTTTTATAATTTAGGATATATGTACCTTTTATAATTTAGTGTCTTCAATATGACTCATTTACCTAGAAATCCTCTCTCATGTGTTTTACATAGAGTCTCTTTCCAAACACCTGACAGATACAGAAAAGTGAAGAGTGATTAGAAGAGGTATTAAAGATCATGATTCATGCATTTTCTTTAATAAACATTCACCACTTTGTATATGTCATGTACTATGTACCTGGTTCAGGATGAACATCTCAGTACTGCCTATGATTAGGTATAGAAGATGTGTGTGTGTAATATCTAATCAGCTTCTTGGGTGGTTAAAGCCTGATTCACTTCTGCATGTGTGCCGGGATAAACTCCAAGGGATGTCTGTGTATTTCATTGGAGTAACTGCTTTGTGCAAGAAGCTCAGATGCTGTTAAGAACTATAAGTTACCAGCGAAGTAGATGACATGATTGCTGACCTCAAGAAATGAAATAGAGTTCAGATGTGTGGGAAGCACCAGCATTACTGAGCTCTGGAAACTTAATAGAGGTTGTATATATGTTGGGTCTCCAGTTTAACCTAACAGAATTTTATTGAGGAAAAAAGAATTTAGGAATATTTGGCAAATTGTGAATGGTAGTGGCATTAAAATTGTCCTACTGTACTTTGATATTTTCAATGTTGGCATTAAGATGACAGAGAAATCCGAAACAAATGAGTTTTGACATATTCTTTCAACATTCAGTGACATAGATTCATGGGCATGTTTGACCCCTTACCTGGACTTCAGTGGGAGCTTTGAGCAAATATTCCTTTAGGAAATATCTTGATATTTTATTGTCTCATCTTGGTCTTTCTTCTTCATGTTTTAGGACAAGGAGGTTGTGTTTTTGTTTTTTTCTTATTTGGGAAGGTTTTTAAAAATATATTTTCCTTAGGCTATGTGTGGATCAGTTTTGACCTTTCATTTGGTCTTTTTCAATTGATTATATGATTATATGTCTTTGTATACTAAGTTTTCTTGTTAAACTTGTTAAATTTATTATATCTTTATCATTTTCTCCCTATTTTAATGATAGGAAAATGTGTCCGATATTGTTGAGTGACCGTATCAACTTTGTTCTACAGCAGTTTAAATCTTTGCACAATATTTTATTATATGCATATATATACTGTATTGAGAGACACTGAGGTTTTCTCTGATTTTGCCTCTTTGACCCTGTAATAAAATCCTTGACAGCTAAATTTTTGTTCATGTCCATGATGTATTCCTAAAAGTGAAATACCTTGATTAAAGGAAATGATTTTAAGGCTGTTGATGCATACTCCACAGTTGCCCTTCAAAGAGATGATAGTCATTTATTCGAAAGATTATGCAGTTTCTTTACTGTTTAGCTAGTATCGAGATAATACTGTGATTGTAATTTTATAGCATGCTTTTTCACTAAATATATTGTAACCATTTTCCAATATCTCTAAAAACTCTATTTTAGTACCCTTTTTGAAATTAATTTTTAATTTTTTTGCAATATAATTAACATAAAATTTACCATTTTATTTTTATTTTTGAGGTGTAGTCTTGTTGCCCAGGCTGCAGTGCAGTGCCATCATCATAGCTCACTGCAACTCACTGGAGGGTCAAGCGATCCTCCCACTGCAGCCTCTCAAGCAGCTGGGACTACAGACGTGTGCCACCACACCTGGCTAATTAAAATTTTTTTTTTTTTTTTTTAATAGAGACGGAGTTTTGCCGTGTTTCCCAGGCTGGTCTCATACTCCTGACCTCAAGTGATCCTCCCACTTCAGCCTCCCAAAATGCTGAGATTACAGGAGTGAGCCACTGTGCCTGGCCAAAATATACCAAAGTATACAATTCAGTGGTTTTTAGTCTGTTCACTGTGTTGTATAACCCTATATGTAATTCCATAACACTTCCATCATCCCAAAATGACATAGCTACCTCTCAGCAGTCATTCCCAATACTCCCTACCTCCATGCCCTGGCAACTATTACTATGCTATACTTTATGTTTCTGTTGATTTGCCTTTGAACATTTCATGTAAACAGAATCATACAATATGTGGCTTCTGCTTCTGGTTTCTTTGATTCAGCGTAATGTTTCCAAGGTTCATCCATGTCATAGCATATAACAGTACTAAATTTCTTTCCATGTCCTTCTTATGGCTGCATTGTGTTTTATCACAGTGATTCAGTAATTTACTTAATTCTCTTATTTTATACCTTTTTTTTCTATATTAACAATACCAGGCATGTTTCTTTGTATAATTTTTTATATATAAATTTCAAAGTAAAATTTTATGGTGGATTCCTAAAGGAAATTTACTGTGTCAAAGGTTATGTCTCTTAATGCTCTCGCTTCCCATGGCCAAATTGTTTTCCAGTTAAGTTTATATGAATTTAAACTCCTGTCAGTAAGGTAAATGAAATGTTGTCTCACTTTAGCCTCTTTATTGCTAACTTGGTGGTTAAAAAGACTAACTTGTTTTGTCTGTTCTTATTATTGACAAAGTTGAACTTTTTTCATAAGCTTATTAGTCATTTGAATTTCCTTTTTTTAAAACTTTTATTTATATGTCTTGCCATTTTTTTTTCCTGTACAATTCTGTTTTCCTTTTGTTTGAGCTTTTTATATATAAAGGATGTTTGCTGGTTGAATTATTTGTTGAAAATATTTTCCCCAGTTGTCAGTAGATGTTGTTTTATGGCTTTTGAAGTATAGAAATTTTAATTTTTGTAATGTAGTTGTTTCTAAATTTAAAATTAAACCTCAGTTAACATTTTATTCTCTTTGGAATTCCCTTTGTTATATAGTGTGCCGTATTATTGTTATTACAGATAGCCACCAGGTCATTCCAGCACCATTTAAAAGATAATCCTTTCCTTTTCTCATTGATCTGTGATGTCTCCTTTATCATTTATTGCATTCATAGATTTCTGAGGCTCTGAGTCTCAATATACTATTTCATCCACCTTTTTTTTTTTTTCTCCTGAGTTCTAGTTAATTAGATGGAGGTAGGATAGCAAACTGTTATCTATACTAGACCTGTGCTTGCGGGTCAGGTGGGCCTTTTTTAGTAAGTGGGCAGAGCTAGGATTCTCTCTATATTTTGGAGAACTAACTTAAGCTTTCTTTGCCTCATTTTTTTTCCTATCTGCAAAATGGCATAATAAAAACCAACCACTCTAAAAGGATATTTTGAGGATTAAAGAAATAATGCCTTACTAAGTGAACGGCATTCTGGCACGTTTAATAAGTGCTCATTAAATGTTAACTGTTAAGATGATGATAATTTTGTATTATAGCATATTAATATTTGGTAGGATTATTTTTCAAAATGCTTTTAGTTATTCTTACATATTGAGTTTCTGGATTTAACTTTAGATTCTTTTTTTGTTTTCATTCTCTCAAAAACTATTTCTGTAGGATTATAAGTTAATTCTGGGGAAAACTGACAATAATACTTAATGTCCCAATACAGAAACTTGGTGTTTCTTAGCATTTATACAAGTTTGCCTTTTGTTTGCAAGATTTACTGATGTTCCCTTTTGAAGGTCCTGTATGTGGTTTTGGTAAAACTATTTTTTAGTTATTTTTTTTGTTAATATGAATAGAATTTTTTTTGTCATTTTTTAGTGAGTTGTTGCTGGTAGTTACATATTTTTAACACTTGTTGGTCTATTTTATTTGTTCTAAATTATTCCTAAATTATCAGATATGTGGATGTTTTTGCTCTTTTCTAATTCCTTGCTTATTCTTTATCTCTTTTTCTTTCTTTCTAAGGGTTATGATTGTTTTTGCTCTTTCATTAAAATGTACTTTTCTTCCTTTTTTCCTTACCTTTTGTCATTTAGGTAAAAACAGATGATATAGCAAGAATTTATCAGCCTAAACGTTATGCTTTGTCACCCAAGACAACAGTTACAATGGCACATCTACTTGCTGCTCGTGAAGATCTATCCAAGATCATTAGGACAAGTAGTGGCACCAGCCGGGAGAAGACCGCATGTGCCATCAATAAGGTTGGTGTTTCTTTCAGCACAGTGGAAAATGAACTGATAATATCCTACTTAATGTTTTTACAGATTTTAACCTATTTTTCTTTCATGTCCTGGTAAATATTTAGAAGAAAGAGTGGCAAGGGGGTTCAGTCTAGGCTTAGTTATGTTATTTTTGTGTATGTATGTGTATTCACTTGAATTTGTGTATTCATAAATCAAAGTATTATCTGAATTAGAGGAATTACAGATTGTTTTTGTCAAAGCTTTAGCAAGAATTATTTTCCAGCTTTCTAAAAAGTAATTGTTTCAAGTACTAACAGATTCCTTACATCCTTGGTATAAAGGAAAGAAGAGTTCGTGCTTTAGAGTCAGACCAATCTGGGTTCCCATCCTAGCTCTATCATTTACTTACAGAAATGACCCGGGCAAGCTACTGAACCTCTTTGAGCTTCTGTTTCCTGATTTGGAGTATACATCAATTTCTCTGACAGTAGTCTTAAACTCAAGGAAACTGAATTTTTTACTTTACAACAGCAATAACAACAAACTAATTTAGTATGTTTATGTCAGCTTTACTGGCATGTCTTGTTCATTTAGGTAGAGCACTCCATGGCAAACTTTATTACAAAAGAGCAAAAAATCAGAAATAAGGGATTTGGATAATTTTAAAGCATTGCTTCTCACTCAGTGTAACTTGAGATAAAATACCTTTTCAGAAGGATGGTTGTTTTTGAAGTCATTTTTCTAATTATCGCTAAATTTGGCATCACCAGTGTTTGCCTCTGTGCTTCCACTGTGGCTCAATCCTATCTTCTGAAAGTGTTCTCTCTTTAAATATATTACCTAACATTTTGCATTGGGTTATAATTTAGTCTTGCTGGGTCAAGAGTTCTATTTCTGTAAGCAACATTGGCCATCTCTTCTGAGTTTATAATTTATGGTCTCATTATTTGAGGGTAGTCTTATGATCAGTTCTGGCATCTCCATATGCCCACCAACATACCATGTTTGGTAGAGAGACCAGTGAGAATAATAACCAGGAAAGGCTGTTTTTTGGATTTGGTAATTAGGACATCATTGCCATCTTTAAAAGAATGTTGCATACTTAGAACCTTGTCTCACATTGAGGATATTGCACTTTTTATCTTCCATTTGTGACATAAATCCTAAACTTGGTTTTGATTTAGAGGATCAATGGAAGTGTATAATTAACTGGTCATTTTGGTTGAGGCAGTTGCTGTTTTACTTTCCTTCCTGAAAGGCAGTAGCAGGAAGCTATTGGCTTCCCCTTGTCTGTGGTGAGCAGATGACACCCTTCTTTTTGCTATCTTTCCTCTGCTCATGGCATATAAAGCTGCTGCTTTCTACAGAAGGTTGGATACTTAAACTCTTCCCTAGTGTATTTTTGAAAGGATTATAAAGCATAGTAAAGGAATTATATCAACTGTGTTTTCCTTATAATAACATGGCATTATCATCACTGAAAGTCAGTGAGCTTAAGTTTCTTAAAAGAAGTAGTTCATTGAGAATCCTTCTCTCTCTTTGCCGTGATACCTGGAATTACAGTTTTTATATCAATCTCTGACCTCATTAAGGTCCCATGTTGTATATACTTCATAGATTTTTGAAATGAAATGTGCTTAGGAATATAATCTTTTATTGGATAATCAATTACCAAATCAATGGCAATGGAAAGTCCAGAGTTGTTGTATAAATGGTATGAATGTAAGGTATGTTGTTATATATATAAAAAAAATGTTTTCCTAAAGAAACTTCTTAGTGAAGTGGGTACTACATTTGTTACAGAATTTGCTAAACGAATTTAAGTGAGAAAAAATTAAGCCTTTAAGTTTCAAAAATATTCTCTCAGATTGTTTAAAAATAATATATTCTAGGCCAGGTACAGTGGCTAACGCCTGTATTCCCAGCACTTTGGGAGGCCAAGGCGGGTGGATCACGAGGTCAGGAGATCAAGACCATCCTGGCTAACACGATGAAACCCCATCTCCACTAAAATACAATAAATTAGCTGGGCGTGGTGGCGGGCGCCTGTAGTCCCAGCTACTTGGGAGGCTGAGGCAGGAGAATGGCATGAACCCAGGAGGTGGAGCTTGCAGTGAGCTGAGATCACACCACTGCACTCCAGCCTTGGTGACAGAGTGAGACTCTGTCTCAAACAAACAAACAAACAAAAATATATATGTATATGTATATTCTAAGGAATTTGTCGTGTATCACATATATTTTTTCATATTTCCTTTTTTAAAAAATTCATTTTTTATTTTTTCATCAGACTTGGTAAACAGGAAGTAAAATTATTTTTTAAACTGAAACACAGTAATTGTACGTATGTATGAACATAGTGATGTTTTGATACATACAATGTATAGTGATCAGACAGGGGTAATTGGCATATCCCTCTCAAACATTTATCATCTCTGTGTTGGGAACATTCAATATCCTCCTTGTAGCTATTTGAAGCTATATATTAGCTACAGTCATCATACAATGGTGTAGAAAACTAGAATTTATTACTCCTGTCTAGCCATGATTTTGTATCCTTTAACAGATTTCTCCTTATCCCACACTTAATATTTTTAATATTCAATTGTATTGCCATGTCTGATACTTTCATGTCCTTAAATATTAGCTTCTGTTTATTAGAAACAACATCACTTGAAACTTTTATGTAAACTTTAACTTTTAAAATATTAGAAACTAAAATAAAATGTTTCTTCACACAGGTGCTGATGGGAAGGGTGCCTGACAGGGGAGGCCGGCCGAATGAAATTGAACCACCACCCCCAGAAATGCCCCCTTGGCAAAAGAGACCAGAAGGCGGCGGTGGAAGGGGTGGTTGGGGTGGTGGTGGTGGAGGTGGTAGAGGAGGTGGTGGGGGTGGGGGTGGAAGAGGTGGCTGGGGGGGTGGAGGAGGTTGGGGAGGTGGTGGGGGAGGGGGAGGGGGAGGAGGGTGGGGGGGAGGAGGAGGAGGTGGTAGAGGAGGTTTCCAAGGCAGGGGAGATTATGGTGGAAGAGGGGGTTATGGTGGAAGAGGGGGCTATGGTGGAAGAGGCTACGGAGATCCATATGGAGGAGGAGGTGGTGGTGGTGGTGGTGGATATAGAAGATACTAAAAACTACAAAAATCAGATAGCAGTGCTTGCTTCTTTATAGATACATTAGACATAGTGTTCTAAATAACATACTTGAATATCATCTTTGAAGTAAACACCATGTTAGACTCCCTGGTGATACCATTCTTGAATTGTTAATATGTAAGAACATTGTTTTTTACTACCAGTTGATCTCTCAAATGAAGTGAAGACTTTTTCCATATTCTATGTACCGTTGAGCATGTTGTGTCTTTTTAAAAAAAAAAAGAACAAAAATTATTTTTTAAAATGTAAATAATACCATCAAACTTGGAAAATGGAAAGTATTTTATTGTCATGATTGAATTTAGATTGTTACCTGTATTTTGTTCAGGTTTAGACATATAAATGACCCCACCTGTAATGGAAAGGAATATAGACCCTTGCCTCACCTGTATTGCTGTGGATGTGTTTTGTGGGTTTTTCATTTGATTTTACAAAATAGGGAAAGGCATTTCCAGTTGTATTTAGTAGGCAGTTGTTGTGAATCATTTTTATCTCTTATAGGAGGAGATTCCTCTCTAGCCGTGTTTCTGTTAAAGTTTCACTAATTGAAGCCCAAGTTTTTTACTGTACATACTTATTTTCTAATTGGATTTGAAATCTGCATGATTTTGTTTGACAAAGGAAAGTTTTAAGATTGAGGTCAGAAATACTTTAATGGAGCAAAGATACATACCAACTTCACATGATGGTGTGAGAAATAGTCCTATAAACTGGTCTCTTCATCATTTATGCTCTCACTTTAGATATCCAAATATTAAAAGACAGGCTGACCTGTATCACACAGAATTAAGGCAGTAATTTCCTGCTTCAGTAGATCAAGGGTAGGGCTAAGGCATCCCTTGGTAATTGTGATTCACAGCTAGATTTGGGAAACACAAAGTTAGGGAATGGCTATATGTGGTTTGCTAGTTGGAGCAGTCAACGTCTTAGCTATCAAGAGTTGTGAATCTGAATCATGGCACTAGGTCAGGGGTGCTATGGATTGAAATGACCTTAGTTCTCAAGGAGTGATTTGCCCTCATTTGTCAAATGAGGAATGAGACACTTAGCGTCATCTCGGGTTGTTTCATGAAGACCTAAGTACAAATACAATTTGTTAAAAACTTATAGAGGGCCTATTTGAATGCCTTAAGATGTAGGGCAAGTAATGTATTTTTCTCTTAGTGTAGAGAGTTAGAGAAAAAGAGCTGGTCCCGTAAATTTTTTCAATCTCAGTGTAAAATCTGTATCTCATTGTAGGCTTCTGGTCAATACCTGTGCATAACAACTTAATGTGATCCAACCAACTCAACTGATAGAAAGCTGAATTGTTCCCAGTGGACAAGTGGTATTTGATGTTTAGCAAGTTTTTTTGTTGTTTTTTTTTTTTTGGTAAACTCTGTGGTAAAATCTAAAATAATGTTAAAACCTTAAAAGTAACTATTGAATATTCTGTAATCTTAGACATGTATTTTTCAAGCTAACCCTTTGAAGAAATGTGTTTAAGGTAGGAAAATATAAAATTTTTTGGTTATTTTTTGTGTGTGTATATTTAATGAAAAGATATAATTTCATTTGTGATAGCTGAAAAAAGACTTTCCATAATTAAGAAAATACCTTTATCAGTAGTTATGAACTCTGAAAAATAATTTTTAAAAAATTTTCAGAAAATATTTGAGTAAAATATTTCAAAAGTTACTTTAAAATCTTCATTTAAAACCTTTACTTTCTGCCTCATTTCTTTTTTGGTAGCATTAGTTGCTGATGAAGGAGATTTACAACTACTTTCAACTTTTTTACCGCTAAAGGTTTATGGTAAATATGGCAGACACAACAGTTCATCAGTTTCATTAGATTTTCCGTAAGATTTCTTTGTACCTTTATAGGAGCGCTGCTTGCGTTATTCGCTGCAATCACTTATTTCCTATCAAAGTTTAGCACTTGCTCCTGGAATCATGTTGGAGCTGAAACCACTCCTATGTACACATCCTATAAACCTTAATTGAATGAAAAGCTGAATCAGGTAGACTCTAATATTTTACTCTTTCTCCTGTAAAGTGGGATTTTCCTGATAATCTTTGTTCAGTAAAAACTTCTTTTGTAGAACAGTTTGCTGAGCAGTATCTAGAATAGCAGGAAGGAGATTTGGGGCCTTCATGTGAAAGGCCATAGTGTGAAAATGTTTTATAAATTGAGTGCAATACACCATGGAGTATGATGAATGGCACGCTACTGCTTCCTAAAATCTAACACTTTTTTTGATATCTCCTTTTTATTCTTGTTTGCCTGGTTCTCAATTTCATTTTTTAATTACCTCATTGTCCTTCCCCTTTTTCTTCTCTTTTTGTCCAGCCTGGTATCTAATAGCACATATAGACTTGATCTTACTGGGAATTTCTGCCTAAAGTAGTCCTCTTTCCTTTGGACCACATAAAGAGCATGTATTCGGTCTATACATAATCACCACACTATTACTCATAAGCACGCATTGAAAGGGAAACAAGGGTTTTCTTTGAACTTACTTTTGTTCTGCAGATCAGGGAATTAAACAGAAAAAGGAAAACACTTTAAATAAAAAACGTCTTATTACCTGTATTTGTGACAAGAGGAGGCATGACAACCTAAAAAAAATTTGTGACCAGAAAAATGTCCCGAGCAGTGATACTATCTATACCTTGGAAGGAGCACAGGTGAGAGAAATGTGGGGATGAAAATGGGGGAGGTGAGCAGGCAGTTTAATCTCGCCTTCAGGATCAGGCAGTCAGTGTGACTTCATTACTTTGTATGAAGTATTATGAATTGCCCAAATGATAAATACACACCCATCTAAATGTTCCAGAATGCATTCCACAGAGGAATTTGACTGAAATGTTTCCTCTCTCTCCATTGGTTTGGTTAAACAAAAATTAGCTGGCGATTAAGGGAAAATTGTGGCTATGTCTGATCATTCTAAACAATCATGACCACAAATAAATTGCCCTGAGTAGGTCTGTAACCTGGATTGAGCTGTCGTTACCAATTTTATACATAGCTTCAAAGCATCTCTTCTTTACTTGCTATTTTGCTTAGATGAAACTGTGGAATTAAAAGCCACAGAGAAGGGACAACCTCAAGTCTGTCTCCTTTAATGTTAAGTATTTATAGACTTAATATTTGGGGACCACTGTAAATTATGAATAAGATGAAAAGAGATTGAATATTTCTATAGTGTTACTTCTTTGTGTTGTAAAAAGATTTAGAAAATTTTAAACTGAATAGCTGCTGTGCCTTTCCTTCCAGGAAAACTCAATTTGATTAACAGAATAGGGGAGTGGTCTTAGCTGTGGATTATAGTAAAAATTCAGGTAAAGTGTTTACATGGTCACGAAGTAGAAGAAACACAAGACATTTATGTTGTAGGGATCCTAATGTCTTTTATCATATAAATATTACACAAAGAAAACTTACATTAGGTATCAAAAAACTTTACAATCTGTACATTTGTTTTTTTCTTGCAGTTCTATATTATACATTTTTAGACAGAAATTCACAACTGGTCAGTAAAAAGGTGAGGCAGCAAAGAAAAAGAGAAGTGATCCTGCTGTTAATAAAACAAGATTTGTCCTTGTTTTGGCAGATAAATACCTGGCCAGACTAAAGTCGTGTGAGATGCAAAAATGTGCACTCGGCTTGATAAGCCAAAACCTTGCTTTTGTTTTCTTATTATTTCTGTGATCCCTCTAGCCCCATGTTGCTCAACGCAAATACTATTAACTTGTATACTATACCTTGTTGCCCCTTGCTGGACTGTAAAAACCTGTGATGAAACTGTTTCCTCTTATCCATTTCAGTGATAAATTCTGCAGTACTGGATACTGTTTAGCCATTGCTAATTTGACTAATTAAGGGGACTGTGACCTTTTGAATCCCTATAGATTATTTATATAAAAACTGGGGATCTTTATTTTGAATGCAGAGTAGGAAGAATGAAAAAAATTGTGTTCCTTGACTGTTTTAAAAAATTGGAGTATACCATCTTTGGTCTATATAAAAGGAAAAGAAGAACAGTGAAGAATATGAATTTTAGAGTTTGTCCTAACTCATGTTTGTCCTATAAAAAGCAAATAACAAAGTGTTACTATTAAGTTTATATGCCAGGTAGTGGGCCTAAGCAGGCCTGCTTTGGGTATTTCTGAGTTTAAATTTGGAAAAGGGTAAATATGTGTGTAATATGATTCTTTATAATATAATGAAACACTAACTACAAGCTAGTTCTACATTACTAAAATTCAGTGCAAGGAGGAATGCAAATGGGAACTGGCCTTTCATCAAAGAGAATTCCTAAATGATCTGAATCCTCCAGGTAAGCAATACTGTATATATACTTCGTATTCTTATGAAGACTTGGTGCTATAGGCTTTAGGTTTGGAACTTTTAATTGTTAACATATTCTTGGCAATTGGACAACTTGTTTATGAATTTCAAGTCAGTCTAGTAGCAGACTTAATAGGCATGGAAGCTAAGTACCCCCAAAAAGGAAAATGATCATATGATTTTTTTTTTTTAAGAGAACTAAAAAGAGGCTGACAAATGAATTTGTGAATAGTTGCCCAGGCAACTAAATGAGCCCATTTATTATTAACCTGCATAATAGAAAACTCACAGGATTGTTACTTGTGATTTTGCCAAACAATACAATTTTACCTTGTGAGCAATTTCATCTTGTGACAAACTGAACTTTGTATTTGTGACTTTGTATAAATGAATAAAACTTGTTTTATTCACTTCCACATTTTATGGAGGAAACAAAATTCCAAGCCACATGCATGCCTGATATTGTATATACATATTATATACATATGTACACACAGTCAGCTGTTATTTAAGCCACTGATCCAATTAGCTTATTTCTAAATAGTATTAATAGTGAAGACAGTTAAGCACAAATTCAGTTAAAAAAGAGGACTTTCAAAATAGTTTACTTCAGAGATAAAGATGGAACATGAAGAGTTAAACAGACTCTTCATAGATTTTTTTTTTTAAAGCCATCAATTCCTAATTCTATCCACTGTAGAATATATAAGGACAAACATGTTTGCGTTAGGTTTATTTTAATTAGACAGTAATATGAGATGGTAATAACTACATTTCCAGGTACCTAATTTGATTACTTATTTTATGATGACTGTTAAGTTGCAAGGCTACAACTATGAGTTGACCTGCAATTGGATGATGTCATGTTTAATAGGCCTCTAAAAAGTTGTGGCTACATCGGTAGAAATTCGCTTCTAGGTAGATATGCTCGTGTGTTGTGACTGTAGTGAGGAAGGAGGGTACATAGGCTAGTTGATTAGATCTGAGGTAGTGAAGAAGGAGCCAGGTTCACAAAGTATGCTGGGATACAGAGGAAATCTACTTTTGGAATATGGGTAGTTTTCTATTATTAGCAAGCTTTGGCTGGAACAAAATAAGTCAGTTTGCAGAAAACACAGGGTAAGAAGCAAATACATTTTCCAGAGATTTTAGTTTTAAGGACGAATCAGCCAGGCAGGCCACTGAGATGCCCCTTTGTAAGGAAGCGACAGTCGTGTTTTAGATCGCATACTTTTGATGAACGTCAGTGGTATGAATAGCAAAAGTTTTGCATTCTTTAGTTTTCCCCCTTTGAGTCAACTGACTGAAAAACAATGCTGCACATTACGAATCTTTTAGGTAAATAAACAATAACAGGCTTTTCCTTTTAAAGTACTGTTTTAAAGCTGGTCAATCTAAAGTTCCTCAGGTCTGTACATTACAGTTTAGGAAATGAGATCTCCACTATACTTATCTACAGATTGTGCTACTTGAGTTTCTGGGCTAAGAACAGTCACTCTGCTCCATTTGAGCTAAGACATGATTGCTTTTTTCAAGCTGGAGGGATTCTATTTTCTTCTGTGCATATTTCAGTTGAATCTTTAGGGCATCATTATCTGCTTTCAGAGTATTTATTTCCTAAAGGGAAAGGAGAATGAGGTATGTTAATAAAGCAGCAATGAATAGCAGATGAATTACAAATTGAGAGCTACTTTTGATTGGCATCTCTTATTCACTGTGGCTGAGAATTAAAAACTATTTTCAAGATAGTTATTTTGCCCTGAATAGAAAATAGCAAGTTAAATATCAAATGAGCATTTGTAAGCAGCAGTTAGTCTTTGTTATCATATCAAAGTTTGTGAGTGGTTAGCAGGCAGAATAAACCATTTCCGAGCAATAGGTAGATAATGACAAAACTTTTGGATGTTTTCTTGCGGGAGATCTCAACTTGGCAGAAACTGTCTCTGATCAGGTCTGAGCCGTGAAAGCATAACTGAGAATTCTTTCATGCGAGGTGTTACAGTTAATTTTATCTAAGTTTTTTCCCCACAAATTACTGAAAACAAATGTAACTTTTTGATGACGTTAAGAATTTTACTCCCCCCCCAAGTTGAGATTTAGTGATCTCATTTGTAGTGGTATCATTATAGAGCCAACGGTTGATTTCCAGTCTTCTGATTTTGAGTCCAGTGTTCTTATATTATCCTATACTGATGACTCCAAGAGAATATTATATATAGACAGTGTCTGGGTAATTCGGGATACACTGGGTTGTTTCTCAATCTGAATTATGTAGGTAGCTGTCTTAGCTGCTGTATGATATTGCGCACCTGCTATGTGCCTATACTGTGTGACATGATAATGGAATACCTTCACCTTCACAAATACCCTGAAAATAGGTGGTATACCTCCAATCTTACAAAGGAAAATGTTGCCATATAGTATAAAACTGCAGAGTTGAACCCTGGTATATCTAAACATAAAAGCTTTTATTTGCTTATTCTTTTGTCCCGTGCTGGTTCAGTGGTGCATTATACTTAAAATAATATGTAATATTTATTAATACTTACTAATTTACATTACATATTGTAAATACTGACAATTTGACTAGTTATTACGGATAGGACTGTTGAATTACACATAGACTAGTCATTGTAAGGATTATACTTAATGGGAAAGTGGGACACATAATTGTTCCTCTAAAATGCACACAGTGAATTCTGGACCTTAGGTCTATCTGACAAGCCTAAAAAGTAAAGAGAGGTGGTGGTCAAAATGGTGAGAGGGTTTACTGCCTCTGATATTGCTGAGTAGGAATTCTAGTCTTCCTACAAGCCACTTCTCAAAGCATTGTTGCCAACCACATTTTTCCCTTTCATCAGCATGTAAAATGTCAAGATTTGAGGCAAACCTTACAGAACATGGAATCCCAGCCCTGTATTTCACAAGGACCAAATAGGTTGTAGAGTTTCACAGCTGGTGTAAGCAATGTCTGGGACTGGAAACCCCAATCTTTGCCTCTAAGACCAAAGTTCTTTCTATTCTATTGAGTTCATTTTTTG